GCTGCAGGGAGAACTGAACGGTCTAAGATTTCTCAGACAAGAAATCCCAGAACTTGCTTTATTGCGGAGCTTTTCAAAGACACACCTCATTGAGCTAAATGCATCAAACTCTGTGCTCCATGAGCCACGATACCAACAGGATATGGCCATAAAAGAAAAGAATTCAGACAAATACCTGAATTAGGAAAGATAATGACACGGATAAATCTAAAAGGCAGACTATAATATAGCTATTGCACTTAATAAAATTCCATAAGCCCCAGTTTCAAAAAGTAAGGGGGGGGGGGAAAATCCCATGACACATCAGTGAGAGTCTGGAAATATCCATCTGGAGAAAACATTTTTCCTTAAAAGCCTTAACTAGCTCTGAAAGTAGCGACACTTCCCAGCAAAGAGGAACGTGCAAACCGGTCTCAGCAGCAGGCTGTGCAGGTTGCTCCTGGTTGTCTATATTCCCTTCTCCACCAGCTGGATGTCCATGCATGGCCAAGCAGGACTTTCTGTGCACAATTTGTGCTAGTAACTAGGATGTCAGCATTCTTTTTAATACTATATGATATTATTATATACTTTCTCAGATGAGAAGCATCCATAAGTGTGATCAAGTCCTTCCTGTCAGAAGCCTTTCTAGACGAACGTCTAACGTGCCAGAATTTTCTGAACGCGGATGATCTGAAGATCATTAAATAAAAGGTATTGAGCAAGATTAAAATAATAAATTTAAAAATAAGGTGCAGTTGCTATCTTCATGAGGTGGGCACTTTGGTAATTTAGGTATAACCAGTCATGGGGGTTCTGTATTCTCTTCAACCACTGCATGAAACTTCCTAGGGAACTGAGCCAAACCGAATTTCTAAAAGTATGAAATATAAAATAAGGGCATAACACCACTGCCTCATTATATCTTGAATTGCTTTAAGTCTTGAGGTTTCAAATCTGACTATTTCAATTTAAGTGTATAAAGGGCTGAGTTGAAGAGTTGAGGACCACTGATTTAAGAGATGCTTGGACAATATTCTGGCACTGCATCAGGAATTACTAACTTTGATCCATCTCTGTTTTCAAGACAGAGTAAATTTGGATTATTTGCCACACAAGACAAATACCATATATTTTAGCTAATAACTGTTTAAATACATTCAGAATACAACGTTTGAACAAATAATGCTCAAATACAGCATGAACGAGCTACAGTCTTCCTTCTGGCAGCATCAGACGCATTTCCCATCCCTCCCCAATAAATAATATTTTAGAGCAGGCATTGCTGGAAAGAGACCACAGAGAGAAAAAGGCACCAGCAGTGGCTGGCTCAGCTCCTTCCTGCTGCCCAGCTAATGCAGCACAGGAGGGCAGGCACTGATCCATCTCTCCTGAAGAATGTGGGTTTTGCTTATTTATTCATGGATTCTGGATCACAGGAGGCGACAGATGTAATGGACTCCTGACTGAAGGAGGAAAATTTTAGGTCCCTTTTGAACTCTGTAGATAAAAGCACCTGAAAGCAGAGGGACTGAGAGCCTTTCGGAAGGACTTCAGAGCAGCAAGGGAGAAGACAAGTGATTCTAGGCTCCTTTACATTCCTGGCCAGGACAGACTCCTTGGGGAAGAAGCAGGATCTGAGGAAGCATTCCAGACCCCTGCACCTGAAAAAGGGAATACAGATCTCTCTTCTTATGAGCTTCCCCCTGCCCTGCAGTTGTAGTTGGCTTTCTGCAGTGTACACAGTTTTTCCAGACCAAAAGCAGTGAATTTCTGTCAAACTGGGAAGCCCTAAATTTTACTGTTGTCTAGCTGGGATTGTTCTACATCAGCTTTGGTATTTATCATTTTAGTGGATTTTCAATGTCAAGAATCAGATGGATACAGTCCATCTGTTCCCATTGATACAAATTGTTTTATACTCACTGACATTTGGAATAAAATAATGCATTAGCAAACTCACACACTGTGTATAACTTGGCATGCCTGCAGCTTGGACAGCTCAGAAAGCCCTGACATTACTGATCTGCAGAAACTGGTGTGGGACAAGCCCCAAATTACTCTAGAACTTTCTTCAGATCACCATTCCTGCAGGACGTGACCCTTCCAGCTGCCTCAGTGTTTAGCACGGATAAGGTGCACAGCTTTACTTGTGTCTAAACTGGCCCTGGTCATTGGGGTGTCTAGCTCTAAGGGTGTGTGTTCTCGTTCCTCAACCAACCTGCTGCAGGGTATGCTCAGAAGCTTGGCTAGGTTTTTAAAGGGCCTTTCTGGCAGCCCAGGCCTGACAGGATGCAGTAGAGGTGGTTTCAAAACCCGAATTCTGTATTTGCCTTCTTGTTGGAGGGGAACACACTGAAGACCTTCCAGATTTTACATTGGGGCCACTCTCACAGCACTTGGCATTGCAGTATGACACACGCAAAGCAGACGACAGACAAAGGAAGGTAAAATAGATAATAGGTTGTCAGATATCCAGATGTATCTAACAACTGCAGTTTTCACCGCAGCAACCTGGCCCACAGATCTGTCCCCAAATCTGGATGGAGTTTTTACCATTTTGCACATCTAATAGTCATCCCCCCTTTTGCAAAGCTTCATTCAGTACCGACGGAATTATATGGCAGCCTCTGGAGTGAAGGAGGATAGACCAGGTGTTACTGTCCTTGCTTGGGAGCGAGAGTTTTTCAGGTGAAAATAAACTGGGATTGCAGTGCGCATCGCAAGCATATCGCAGAGAGAACAAACACGCGCAGCAGAGCAATGCAGACTTTGTAGCTGATTTAGCACAGCTCAGAAAAGGATAAAATATCTGCCTGCTCAGCCAGGGTAGGTGCCTCAGCACCCTCATCTACCAGGCCATGAGTCTGGTATCTCACACGTGGCCTCAGCTGCCTTCTCTCTTGAGCTAGGAAAGAGTAAACAACCTCCCATATAAAGTGTTGCTAGCAATAAGCATCCCACTAGCTATGCTAAATAACGTGGATAGAGCTGGACTGGACACTATAAACTTTTTAAAATCAGTTGTTTAACTTGATAGTCCTCATGTTCTGGGTTTTTTTTTTTTTTAATCCCCCAATGTTTTTGTTCTATTTTAACATAACCCCTTTCATTTCCTTTAACATTTAAATATTGGTCAGAAAAAAATCAGCAGAAGTTTCCCTTACAACAGCTGTTAGGGCATCCAGTACTGATTTTAAAAGAAAATAGAACTGCAGCCTGCTTTTTAAGAAAAGTACAATGAACCATAGCAAGAGGATTGTTTGGGAGCATTTGGAGAGATAACTGCACTTGTGATTTAACTTATTATCTTCCCTGTATGAGACAAGCAGCTTCAGCAAGGTATCCCACTGGGAGTGTACTGAAAAGAATGCAAACAAAAAGGAAAGCTTAACCTACATTTCTGATACAAGCTGCTTATGAGCCTTAACCCTACAATTGTGACAGCTAGTGGCACATGGCACTTAACAGGAGCTGGCCCCATGAAAACTCTTTTTGTGAAGGGTGCAAATATAAAATGAAAAATAAACAGTCTTGTGCTAGCAGTGCTGGAGGTAGCCAAATACACCACTCACATGCAAAATGTGATGGCAGAAGAGGCAACTTAAGAAAAAACATAAAATTGCCACCATTATTTAGGCTTTCCTTAGCCTAGAGTAACTCATCAAAATTGAAGTTATACAGGTGTGTTTTGTCCAGTCCAGTCTTCTACGCTCTGGCTTGGAAATTCAGCTTAAAAGACGACAGTCCAGTCCAGTTTTACTCCCAAGGGGTCTCCTTGCTCCTGAGTAGCGGCTCCGGCTGGAGAGAGCAGCTGGAACAGGCCCTCAGTCCCACTGACCCCAGCCAAGGGGCTGCCATTTTACACCAACTTTAGAGGCAAGGGCCAAGTGCACTGAAGCCCAAGGAGGGCAGAAGAAACATATAACTTACAACCCTGCAGAAATGCTTTTTACCCACTCGCCTGTCCAACAAGCACCCTGCTTTCTTGTTTTGAGCACGCAGCCTCCACCACAGGCTTCAATACCTCACTGCACTGTGACACTTCCCAACCACAGTCACCTGCCTGGTATCCAGCAGACTACAAGAAACCCAAAGAGTAAGCTAGCATAAACATTACATGTTACTCAGAAACCAGAATTTCTATTCACGTGAAACCTCTGAAATAAACACGAAATTGGGTATTTATTTCAAACTGGGGGAATCCTAACAGTCCCGAAAAGTTTGGGTCTCTGCAAGCACAAGGCAGTTGTCGCATCCATCTGCCTTGGAGCTACGGAGCAGGAGAACAGGGTCTGCCTGAGCCATCAAGGAACTGAACTTGTGGCCAGGGCTCCAAGGCTCTCAGCTCCCACCAGCCAGGCAGACTGCCAAGGAGCTGGGCAGGAAGGAAACTGGGGAGGTTTCTAACAAAAAAGTAATACCCTGCTAGAAAGTTTCCGATGAGTTCTAATAATGGCCCTACTTTGAGAGTCAGGTATGACGCTGGCAGCAGGTAGGGTGACCCACTGCATATTCTATTTAGTTGTTGGCTTCGCATACAAATCTCTTTATATACCAGACATATAACATCAACTGAAGTAATCCTTAAGAAGAATGGTTGTAAATTCCTTTAAAATTCTCCGGAGAAAATGACATGCCTCGTACCAAGAATGATGATGGCAATCATTAATTGGTGCTATTCAGAAGGTAGCATTTTCTCTGGTAAGGTCTCTACTGCTTCAGGTAACCACATGTGCTTTTGGCAGCCTCTCTAGATGAGCCTTGTTGGCAATAGACAGTATATGCCTCGCTCGGAAAGACTGCATGAAAAAACAGCTCACTTTCCTGTTCCAGTTCCAAGGCTTCATAAACTTGGCGAGGCTGACAACATAATCTGGCCTGGCTGCAGGAATAACTGATGTCTTATGGGTAGCATCCTGCAAAACTGCCCAAGATGCTCATGCACACACAGTTACTCCACAGAATGAGACCTTCTCAGCACAGCTTTCCGAGTACTAGCAGTTGACCAAGCAACATACCGTTCATTATTCAGGGTCATTCTCGGCGGGTCAAGGTTGGGGTTCTCCATGGATTCCATCTGCGGACAGCGTAGGAAGTAGTAGAGGGTGTGGAGCGCGTCGGGAGACCAGGAGATGGGCTGCTGCTGCCGGGCTTGCCGGACGGGGCTCATGCCCGGGCGCAGGGTGTTCAGGCACTGCATGTGGTGCATCGCTCGCGATACCAGATCACCTGCAGGAGGAGGGCAACAGCATCCTGTGACCATCCATCCACGATATTGAACTGGAAAGCATACTTAAAAGTAAATTATCTGACAGCTCAGAGAACTGCCCTGTGTGTGCAAATATCCTTTATCCTCCACTAAGCCAACTGCTGCCCTCAAGTTGCCTTTTTGCAGGCTGTTATAAAGGAAATTTAACTTTCTTTCAAATGACAAACTATGAGTTGGAAAACACAGAACTAAACATCTCTCAATCACCATGCTACCATAATTGTAGATTTACGAGTGTTGTCTCCATTCTGTTTTAATATCCTCTTTCTCCTCTTTTCAATCGTGTACTACCAGTTTCTTGTCTGCCTCAAAAGAACTGCTGAGAGCTTTATAAAGCGGTGGTGGCCTGTACAGGGAGCATAGTGTACGCAATGCAAAACAAGTGGCACCAAAAACCTGGTGGGGCCTTAAAGGATTCCCAGTCCACGGGCTTCTGAGCTGCTCAGTGCTTGTGGGCTTTGAACTCCAGCCTCTGTGCCCGAGTACCTGTGGGCTTAGGGAAGGGAGGAGGCCCGTGTTACACGATTTCTCCGAGGAAAGGACCTCAAAGCTGCAATGACTACAAGGCAGCTGCTATGCAGGGAGTCCTTAGTCACATAGGGCTGACGTTTGTGTAAGGACTTGCTCTGGGAACACCCTGTTTGCTCTCCTTTTATTGTGGTGCATCATAAACCCTACAGGAGCTTTGCAGTAAAGGCAGCAGAGTCGACATCTTTAAGCAGTGTGACTGCCATCCTGCTGCTGTGGATGACTGTTATAGGTTGCTATACATAGCCGGGGTCTGTTTTTTCCTTGGGAGAATCCTCTGTTGCTTTATGTGCTGCAGCCCCCTGAAAGTCTCACAGGAAACCTTGCTCCATTGTGTCCCACAGCCACAATACTGGGAAAGGATGGGACTGAAATAGTCACCCCCATCTCCAAACGGGTTCCTGAGAGAGTGCCCTGAACTTACCATATGAAATATGAATTATTTCCACCTCCCTCTGAAAAGCTGTCTGTCCATGTATGGCTAACGGCAAGAGACAGGCAATCGGCAATCTCCAGCTGAATCCATGGGGTACTAGTGTTACACAGGTTAATCAGAAACCCCTACAAAGCTACTGTACATCTAAACACTGAAATGTCATTAGTGGTTCAGATAGCTGGAGTGTGAAAATTTCAGTTTGCAACATAAAGCCACACCACTTACTGTATAGTAAATTCAGCTTAAGGACCCACTTGGGAATGCAAAAACCTTCTAATGTCCCTGCCTTTCTACCTCATTAGCTCCCAAATCTTTCCCTAAAATCCCCGAATTGTATTACAAGAATCTGTGGCGTGGGTACCTATACAGAAGCTTGCATGATTATAGAAGACATGCATCTGGAATTTAAATTTCCAGCACAGAATAAATTTCCTTCTCCCTCGTACACTCACTCACTCTATTTTTTTGGCAATACGCTGTAACGTTTCAAATAAATAAATAAATCAATCAGTAGGCAACTGTATCAGGAAACCTATTCACTAGATGTAATGACCAGAAGCAGAGCCAAAGCAGGGACTGGGAAGAGAGAGAGGAAGCTGTATTCAATCACAGGCCCATACTACAAACGTTCTCTTGTGTTCCAGGATAAATAGAGGTGTGTTGGAGGATTTTGAAAACCTCAAATTAGGGCAGGTTGCAAAATAAATGGCAAAACTCACAAACTCCTTGCGGGCCCCCATGTTCATTAGCATTCAGATGGCAGAGTAATGCCAGCAGCAATGCTGCAAGGATGAAGTGGACCAGGAAAACACAAATCATTTGTGTTTACCTTAAAGGAGCTTTATAACTAGCCTAGGACTAGAGTGTTTTATTTGGTCAGCATTAAAAAAGAAACATTAACAAATTTTTTTGTTGTTGAGCTGCTGTCAGATATTTTTTCTCCAGTTGCTGTTAAGTAACCAAAGAGCTTTCTCTTGAGGATCCTGCTGCAGAACGGCTACAAGAGGAGCCTTTTAGCAGCCCAGGGGAGGTGTCCCTGCCTGTTCCATTGCAGCACAGAAAATCTCCACAGGTACCTAGGCAGAAGCATCCGTCTTCCTCTACCAGAGGGAGGCTGGAGAAACCTCACCTTATAGATCTCTGAGATGAATCAAAGCAACGAAACAACTTGATTTTCAGAAGCAATACCACAAGACAATCAAATCTTGCACAACGCTGGCCAAATACTACTCATGGTGTGAGCACGGGCAACACTCCCACTGCCCTCAGGAGCAGCGGGACCAGCTCCCGTGCTCATCGGGAAGAGCCCCAGGCCCAGCAACAGCCCCACTCACTCAGCTCGGAGATGCTGCCGACGCACGTGGCCAGGAGGGACTGCTCGAGGGTGCGGAGCTCCAGCTGCGCGTAGGCGTCCGCGCGCCCGTCGCCGCAGTCGTTGTAGGGGCTGAAGGAGGCGGGCAGCGAGAGCACACCTGCGGAGGAGAGCACAGAGCACCGCTGTCACCAGGCCAGGAGCGCCAAGCACGGCTCCCTAAGAGCAAGGCTCCCGATGGAGAGGCCATCCCAGCGCCGGCTCCTGCATCGGGCACCAGGCTCGCGCTCTCCAGAAGGGCTCAGGCAAAATCCAACAGTGCTGCGAGTGCCATTGGAATGAGTGAAGCCGGGCAACCGGCTCCTAGGGAGCAACGCTGGTTGTTTCAACAGCCTGTAAAAACTAGAAACAAATTACACTCGAGATAAAACTACATGAAAAGCTTCAGTGAAGTCTCTGATGCTGTTTACATAAAAACTTGGCTGTGCGCACGCAGGTTGCCGTTGAGCAGCTGTATGCAGATTGCTAGATATAAGGGCCTGATTTCTAGGGGTGAAGGATAACCTCAAGTCCATCAAAGGTAAACAGGAGCTGCAGTCTTTGGAGCTCTAAAAATAAGACCATGGGTTACGCCAATTCTTTGAACCTGCGTGCAGTTTCAAATGTGTAGACTGTGGTTTCTGCATGTGTGAACCTCTGGCTGTGCCAAACTACACCCACAAGTTTTGAGGTTGACTACATTTTCACCTCCATAAATGACACTCCCCCTACTCAGAGTTACATTAGAAAGACAATTATGTTGCACACACATATTCACCGCATCCTCTCCTTCCATTCTTCAGAACATGTCAAATCATTCTTTTTTTTTTTTTCCTCCTTCCTCCCCCAAGCATGAGCACTAATGCATAGTCACTGAATCGTGCCAGAGATGTGCAAGCAGGTAGTGAGGGTTGTGACCGGGATCCCTGCTTGCCTGGTGCATCTCCTTACAGCCCTTACAACCACCCTGCATCACTGGCAGGTTAGAGGCCATTTGTGTGAGCTGGGTAGGGGCAAAGACTGAGGGCACCTCAGGAAAATGATGCATGGTTATCAGGAAAGCTGTCATCAAAAGGGACAGTCACCCCTTGACCGTGCTTTACATGACTTATATTTTTCAGACAGGGAGCAAGGATATGCAACCAAGGCTGGGGCTACTATATTTTTTGATTATAAATCTATTGCTTGATCCCAGCAATACAGCTCAAGCTTGATTTTTTTTTTTCTGATTCCCACCAGGACTCCTGGAATCCACATCTTCCTGCTCTCCAACCCCACCCTCAGCCTCTCCTTCTATTTTTAACCTCCATCAGCACGCAGGCAGCCAGTTCAGTTCAGGCCTGCGCTACCTTCCCATCCCGGCTCAAGCTGGATGGGGGAAATGATCCATTCGTGCTGCACAGACCTCCTGTCACTGAGGTGCTGTGAACTCTTGTCAAACCAAAGCACCAGCTGAACGGCAGCACTCTGGGAAAGACCTTTGTTCCTTTGTCTCGACGTTTTCTTTTGAAATTTTAGACTGAATCGATCTCCCTTACCCTTTTCACATCCTCTGCACATCCTGCTTGGTGGCAAAGCCAAGGATTACATCAAAAACTTCCTGCACATTTTGAGGAGAAGAGAATGATTTATCGTGTTGTGCTTCTTCACTGTACGTTACTGTTAGCTAATGGAGAAGACTCTGCCAACCCCCTCTGTAAGCTGAATAATTAGGAAACTGAGGCTTGAAGAACTACCAGGAGGAATACATGCAAACTAGAAGAGTTGCTATATACACTACAGCCTCCAATGCAGAGCCCAGGCCGCTTCCTCTGCCATGCTATTGCCACAGAAGGATGTTTTAACACATATGGATTGAATTTATTACAGAGGGAGAATGAAAATAGACTAATTGTCAAAAGTTTCAAATGGAGGCACATAGCTCTACAGAAATAAGTGAAATAAGAAACTGGCAGTTACATTAATAAACCAGGTGGGAGGGGGAAAAAATGGAGCGCACGTTTCCTTTGCCAGTCAGCTTCAGTTGGTTCTGTTTTGTAACAGGGAACTAAAAATAAGTCGAGATCTGTAGAATTATGTAAACTGGCTTACAACTGAAACAACACTTTCTCAGCTTCTCAGCAGTCTGCCAGGTGTTGTTGGTAAGAGGAAGCAGTTGATTCGATCACTTTTGGAAAAAAATGGCCCATACAGGACAGAACTGGATAAGATTTATGTTTGCATCTGTCCTGATAGAGCTGAGGGATATCCCCTATGAATGAGGGAGAAATAAGGAAGTTCCTGAGGCCCCGGCCCTGTGCCAGAGCTCAGTGATGTCACTGGGGATTTTCCCATGGATTGCAGGAGCCGGGCTCTCCACACAGAACGCGTCCCACAGAGTCACCGCAGGTTTCCCTAGGTGGCAATGAGAAATCACACGCCTCCTCACAGCAACCAGACTGCGAGGAAGCAGGCACCCAGTGGTGGGGTCTGCTCTCCTCCCACCCACGCCGGGACATTTCAAGGTAACAGATGTTACAAAGGTATAAACTGTTGGGGAAACTTCTATTTCTCTTTGACATTCACATTTGTGTATTTTCACATTTGTGGCAACGCTGGTTTTAATTAAGGCTAACTGAACAAGCAAAGCTATAATTGAAATAAATCAATTCACGTCCAAACACTTTCTTTCTGTTTGAAAGCATGTTAAAACTGTTCATTTATTTCCTGAAGTTCAAGAATGTGCTTTCCCCCACAGAACAACAAAGGGCAGCAACACCTAATCACAGTGCAGCAGCAGGCCCCTCAGGCATGTATAGCACTGTCCTTAAAATACTTTGAGGGAGGTTATGTTGCATGCCACACATCCCTGCCTGTATCTGTCACCTGGGTCACTTTTAGTATTATTATGTAAGATTTTAGGTAGGGGATTCAAGTGAAGATGAAATTAGTAAGGTCCATCCGTTTTCATGTGGCTTAGCTCAAGTGCCCTCTCTGGGCCATGGCGAGGTGACACCACGGAGCAGCCCAATTGAAAGCACATTTGCAGCACTGTGATCAAGCCCTGGCTGGCTAACAGTTTGTTTCCACAGCCTTTGAAATAGCAGCTGGAAAAAAAAAGCCATATTTATGCTATTCAGTTAATATACAAAACCTGTTCACGGGCATTTGCTGCCAATACTCTTAAAAAGCAGTCATGACTGGGTAAAGTTCCAGTTAAACAGTTACTTAAGCTGAAATTATCCTGCTGGTCTAAAAAATTTGAAATTGTTGTCTGTAATGTGATGCTTTTAAATAGCAACTGAAAATATTTCCACAGTTTGAGCCGGGTCCAGGGCAAAAGTCTGTTCGCACCCCTGGACATCTTTCTGCCTCAAGCAGCACAGCGGTTACGCCAAGAGCTTTGGCTGGAAGGTGACGGCTCTTCTGAAACCCAGACAGAAGAGAACACCAAAATTTCTACACAAATTTTAGGATTTAAATGTTTCAAAATCTAGTTCATGTTCCCTTCACGCTCTGGCATGTTACTTTCAGGCTAAAGGACCAGTCCTCCTCTTTCCCTCCCTTGCTGCAACGATTTTCTCTCTACTTTCTCCCCGCCAGCCCCAGCTGCTTTAATCTAAATCCTGCACATTGGGAGACAACTTCCCAGTGATTAACGTGTCAGCTGCTTGAGGACTTTCAAACTCTTACATGGTGCCTGGAGGTTAAGATGGGGCCACCACACATGGCAGGGAGCCAAGAAGACTTGTCTGAAAAGCACTTGAAATCTGCTGCCTGTGATTCCTCGCAGAAACGGCCCAGAGCACTAACCTCATCCTCTTAAAAATGAGCAGCTTAGTATCTCAGCCCAGCTGGATTTCTGACAGGTTAAGCAAAGAACCACAAAAAAATAGGAACAAGGTGCACATAGCTAACTATTGAGACAGAAAAAGTGACTTAGAGGGGTTTTTTAGATAAACATAGTTAAGTCCGTGAGTTAGGTACAAATACCATGTGTATCGACTCTTCCCTCGGGCCAGAATAAAAGAGTTCTCTCCGCCAGGATTCCCTCTTGTTTACAGTTACACCTAAAACACCGGGGATTGATTACTGACCACTACAATACCAAAGCAGAACAATAGGACACGAGTATCTATTTGGAGAAAACAAGCCAGAAAATAAAGTCCTCAAGAAGTCCAGGGTTACCTTTGGACATGACAAATTGTTTCTAAAAGCCCTTGATAGAGTAAAAAGCCACATATGTGAAATCAGAACTGCTATGGGGAAATATAGTAGGAAACAAAAAAAAGTCATGGCCTCCAGCATCAACCAACTTTGTTTAATTTGTGATAATTTCCATAAGAAACATTTTCAGAGGTGAGACAGACAACTGCAGATCCCAAAGCACTGAGCCGCGATTCCGAAGGCCCGATGCTTTGAAGACGGATGGTGATGACCTGACTCCACTGAAGAGAATGGCCAAATCCCACCGATTTCAATGGGCCCAATATTCTACCCCGTGAAAACCCAATGCAATTGTGGATGCAGTTCCCACATTGGAAATTGGCAGTGAGATCAAGGCGCTGCCACCTTGCGCACAGCCCCACAGTTCTTCGTGGCAGGGAGCATTCAAGGCTCTCCTTGTTCTCCATGTCCCTTTCCACCAGGCCACACAATGTCGCGGGGTGCCTCTTGCCAATCCTCTCAGTACAGACACAGAGTACAGGCCACCACCTCGAATCGGTGCCAGTTCCTGAGGCTGATCTGCTGCTACACTGCTAGGAAAATGCTTCTCCCCCAACTTTTTGAAAAATAGCAAGCCCGTTCTGACAGAATGCAAGAGGAAAAAAACCCAGGTAACCAATGTTCCTCATATAATGTACTCAAGTCTAAACATGTTAGGCTCTATAATCAAGTATAGTCATGCTACACATTGTCTCTCAATCATAAATCTGTCTCACAAAGTATATAAGTGCTAAGAAAAAGTGCACAGAAAAATAGCATGCTTCTGGTATAAAGCAAAGCAGCCGTACATCTCTCTTAGTTAGTCTCTATCAGGAGTGAGAAAAAAAAAAATCACAGTTGCCTATATCTGCATTCACATTTAACAGCCTTCTCTCAGCCATTGCAAATCCTTAAATGCCTCCTTACCCCTAGGGA